CTCGCGGGCGGAGGCGAGCGGCGTCCCGACCTCCTCCGCCGACTCCTCTCCTCGCGGTACGACCCGCTGCGAGCGGCAGGAGGGGCGGAGGAGGAGGGAGGGGCGGAGGAGGAGGGAGCGCCTCCCCACGCCGCACGGCGGGCGCGGGCGGCGCCAGCGGACCCTCCTGACGAGGCGGCGCTGCGCGAGGCGCTCGAGGAGCACGCGGCGGTGCTGGCCGCGCGCTTCGACGCGCTCCGCGAGGCGATCGTCGCGGCGCAGCGAGTGGCTCCCCCGGGGGCGAGCGAGGGGGGCGCGCGCTACTCTGCGTGGGAGCACCATGAGGGCGTGGCGGCGCTGCTGCTCGCCCACCTCGTCGAGATGTGGTGCTTGCGCCTCTTCGGCCCGGCGAGGCTCGAGGAGGAACTGCGCCTGCTGGCAGAGCACGCAACGATACCGCGCACTCGTGTGCGTAGATTATGATTTTTTGTAAAGCCGTAGCCGGCGCGGCCGCACCCCCCCGCCGCCCGCACGCCTCCCCGGCAGCCCCGGGCATTGAGATCGATCAATTTTTCATGCAGCAGAGAGCGTTGCTGAGTAGCGACGTGACGACTGCACAAGCAAAGCAGGCTGCATCCTGGGCTGCGCATCGTGCATGCGCACAGAGCACACAGCTCTCGGAGACACGGAGAAAGCGCAACGTGTGTGCGCTCCTTGGTCTCTGCTCTAGCGCGCACAGACAGAGCAGGCCGCTTCGAGAGAGGGCGTCAGGCCATTCCAAGCTGCGCCTTGCACGGCGGGCAGAACCAAGCCTGGCCCTCCTCCTCCTCCTCGGGCGGCGCCTCCTCCCCGAGGCACGCCGCGTGGTAGGCCTGAGGGCACGCCTCGCAGCAGACAAGCAGCCCGCCGCCGTCGCACACGGCGCACGTGTCGAAGTTGCCGTCCTCCTCCACCACCGTCGCGCCGCCCTCACCCGAGGACCCGCCCGCCGCACCGCCGACCCAGCCACTCGAGCTGCCCGCCGCCGACTCGCTCGACCCCGCCGCCGCGCCTGCGTCGGCGTCTGCGTCGCCGACGTCGTCGAAGGTATAGCCGAGCGTCTCGCCCCGCTCCTCCAGCACACTCTCCCAATGCTGCGCGCGAGCCGCCGCCTCCCGCGATCCGCAGTCTGCCCTCGCTTGAACCCCCTTTGGCGTTTTTGGGGCGGGTCACCCACCAATGGCCCCTAGAGTCC